AAGTCCGTGGAAAGCAACGGGCATGAAGAGACTTTTCCAAGTTAGAAGAGCGAGAGAAGAAACTGTTAGCATAGAACTTACGGTTCCATCAAACCTTTCAGCTGTAAAATGATGAGACCTATCTGCCAATCTAGTATTGCGCTTAAATTCGTAAAGCCGAGGTACCAATGATAAAAGCTTATCAGAATAATTACCGTGAAAATGTTTCTGGAAAAACAATAGAAGTTGGTGGGAAACTTCGTAAATCGAAGCTTTAAATCTAATGGAAGAAAGGAGTAGAGGTTCGATTCATGTCAGGAGCTACAATTTATCTTTAATAGGACTCCTCGATCTACGTTGGCTGCTATTAATATCACGGTATAAGAAAATTATTTTAAAAATGGATCACATCTCAAATACGCGCACCCACCGAAAATCTCGGATTAAAAAATCCTTGAAAAATGACAGTAGAGATCTGTACAAATACTTTTGATAAACCTTTATATATTAATAATTGTTAACCAATTATAATTAATTAATATCTCTTTAACAATTAAACAGTGAATATTAATTATTAATTTCTTAACCAGTCAGCTACTGTTTTCTAATTAAGTGCTCGTTTCCCTTCTCAAATACTTGTTTCGTCTACATCCAATCAGGTAGTGTTCTTTTCGTAAAATTCAACACCCGAGCTCAAATTTTGAACAGATAAAAACAGTTACCACATATGGTGATCAAGTGCTTATGGAATCCACAATACCCACGAGGTAAGATGTCCGTTTAATCAAATATTGTACATTTAGAATTTGATATTCTGAAATTGAATTAACAATTAATTAGTCAGTGAATTTAGCGCGCTAAAACACTTTGGTTGCAGTAATAACGCTAATATTAAGAAAGCTGACAGAATTCAAGCAAGCAGGCTAACTTTAATTAACTAGGTAGTTATTTATTTGATGCTTCTACTTCTCAAGAAGTAAATTTGAATACTTGTAAAATCAACATTAATTTATTCCGATAAAGCCAATGATTGCTTATGTGCATTTGCGTTTCAACCAATAGGCGGAACTTTGTGGACGAGCAATTATTCTATAAGAATTCGATTCAAAGACTTAAAAATAGGACAGCTGACGCTGACCTTCGGGGTCACTACCGACCAATTTCTGGCGGAATCTGTTATTTCCGGTCAAAATGAAAGGATGGCCAAGCAGTTAATTATCGATAAAATGGAAGCAGGGATTTCAGAGAGTCTTCAACAATTTGAACAAGACCAGCATGCACAAGTCCTCGGCCACGATGACTTGTGACCGCGTGCTAGCTCAGATATCGTTGACCCCAATTTCCCCAATATCGTCGACCTAATTCCACTCACAAGGCTTGGGTTAAACCGTAGAATGGTTTCCAGGCACTTTCCAAAGGTGCCGCGCGCTGGGATCGACCTCGATAATATCAGGAGCTCTCCTTCCGGACAAATCGACCATGGTGAGATTCGAACCTAGGTCACAATGTCAGAAAACGAACGTTCTAACCACTCGGCCACGTGCCCAAATACATACATACATACATACATATATATACATACATATACATACATACATACATATATATATACATACATACATACATACATATATATATACATACATACATAAGTAATTCATCAAGTCTAGAAAAAACCTCAACAGAATGCAGAAAGCACTGGACGGCCGTTTCGTCCTATATTTGGGACTTATCAGCAGTGCACATCCAATTGTATATCCTTGCTTGAACCGTCTTCTAATGCTCTGGATGGAGTGGCTTGGGGATAGTAGTCGTGGCTTGTGGGGGCACAGTCCTATGGGTAAGGGAAACTCGGATGAGTTCCACCATGGAATTTGTGATCGATCGGCGCTATATCGAGTCTAATTCGCTACCTCTTCGTCACCGAGGCCCGTTGGTACAGTTGGTATGACGTTTGCCTGATACTGTCCGGGTTTCAATTCTCGGTGGTGGATGCGCACTGCTGATGAGTCCCAAATATAGGACGAAACGGTCGTCCTATGCTTTCTGCATTCTGTTGAGGTTCCTTCTAGACTCGATGAATTACCTAATTATAATTATCTCTATCGCTTATGCATACATACATACATGCATTTGATTAGCTGGTTGAATGACAATAAGGAAACAGATCCACATAAGGAATTTCGTCCTTCAAGAAACATTACCAGACTTAAGCAGTTTTCTTATTAATGCAATTATATATACTTAGGAGAGAGGGTGAAAATATAACCAAAAACATTAGTTATAATTATGCATCAGGAGAAAATGCTAAGATTTTGGTACGCTAAACTAAACGCATTAAAATCATTAACAGAATTACATTGCCCTTCATTTTCGATAATTAATTTATTAGGAAATGCCCAAATCTAGCTCTCACACTTCTCACTTGTGGAACTCTTTTCCAGCTTCTTGCTTTCCTGTCGATTAAGATCTTCCATCATCATTTCTTGTCTTCATGGATCCTATTCCTCTACTCCCCCCTCTCCTCAATAAACTTTCTTTTTCAGTTTCTTTCACTATGACTAATGCCTTACACTATAGTCGCTTTATCGCCTTGAAATGGTTTAAAATATATCAACCGGCCTAGATTAAGATCAGCCCTAACTTAATGACGACTGTGTATTATTTTCTACAAAACCTATCGTTCAGCTTAATCATATCGACATCAGAACAGTATTACTTTGCTCTAAGATATATTAATTCAAGCCGGGCGTAAAACATCTTTATCCACTATGGCACAAGCTCTATTTTAAGCTACAATATAACGGGCCCCTAAACCAGCATTACTTCCCCTGTCTCTACGCCTCCCACTGTTTCTTCTGTTTTGTGTCTTCTACAGCCAAACCCTTCGATGATGCAATATTCTTCCCCGTGGCTTCACAAATGAAGAAAGCTAACTATTGCTGAAAGAATTTCCATTAAACACCACCCGTTCGAGTATTAGTTCGAGATGTGCAGTGGCCGGGACCAGACGCAGCTGGAACTGTCAATCGTTTCGTCCTAACGTTTGTCATTCTGTTTGTCTGTCCCTTCGCCTGAGGATACAAAAGTCACCTTCTACATTAGAGAGTTCTTCCCCGTCTTAATACGCTCACTATAACTGTGGCATTCCTGGGAGTTAATCCACGTTGCTGGATTTGAAGGCGGATTTAATGCAAAGAATTGTGAGTTCTGGAGATATTATTCAAAAGACACGAAAAGAAAGGCGATATTTATAAAGAAGAAGAGGGATTAAATTGAATATTTGAGAGAGAAAAAGAAGTAGGGGGAGGAGGAGAAAGAGAAAGGAAAGTAGAAGAAAAAGAAGAAGTAGAAGAAAAAGAAGAAGTAGAAGAAAAACAGTAAAAGAAAAAGAAGTAGAAGAGAAAGACGTAGAAGAAAAAATAGTAGTAGAAGTATTAGCAGAAGAAAAAGAAGAAGTAAGAGAAGAAGAAGTAGTAGTAGTAGTAGAAGAAGTAAAAGCAGGAGAAGTAGTAGTAGAAGAAGAAGAAGAAGAAGAGAAAGAAAAAAGTGAAAGAAAAAAAAGAGATGTAGTAGTAGTAGTAGTAGTAGCAGCAGCAGAGGTAGAAGAAAAGGAAGAAGTAGAACAAAACGAAGAAAAAGGAGAAGTAGAAGAAGAAGAAAAAGAAGTAGGAGGAGGAGAAGTAGTAGTAGTAGTAGCAGAAGTAGTAGTAGTAATAGTAGTAGAAGAGGAAGAAGAAGAAGTAAAAGAAGTGGTAGTAGAAGAAGAAGAAGAGAAAGAAGAAAAACCAAATAAAAGAAAAAAGAAGAGAAGTGGTAGTAGTAGTAGCAGCAGAAGAAGAAGAAGAAGAAAAGGAATAAGAAGTAAAAGAAAAATAAGAAAAAGAGAAGAAGTAGAAGAAAAAGAAGAAAAAGAAGAAGAAAAGGAAGAAGAATCAGAAGAAAAAGAAGAAAAAGAGAAGTAGAAGAAAAAGAAGAAGAAGGAGAAGAAGAACAAGAAGAAGAAGAAGAAGAAGAAGAAGGAGAAAGAAAAGATATCAGAGAATGTGAAGAAAATGTATAATAATAATTAAAAGAAAAAAAAGAAAACGAAAAAGAAGAAGAAAGACAAACAAGATCAAGCAAGGAAAAAGAAGAAAGATATCAGAGAAGATGAACTAAGATAATAATAATAATAATAATAATAAGAAGAAGAAGAAGAAGAAGAACAACAACAACAACAACCTACAAAATCAAGAACATGCCCCCCTGTTCAATATATAAAAAGGCATTTTTTTCTTTACCATATTTAAATATAACAATACCTTCTCATAAATATGACAAAAAAAACTATCAGATAAAAATACATTTGTTCAAGAATATGTCAAGTTAGCAAAATATAAGGATTCTGAAATTGAAATGGAAAAATGTGGCACCTTAACGTTACTGTCATACCTAGAATAATTGGAACACTGGGCAGGATCAAAAAAGATACAGACAAGAACATTAACAAAAAACCTAGGCACCATCTCTTCACAAGACATTCAATAAATTGCCCTGTGTTGAACTGCTCCTCTTCTCAGGGGTATATTATCAACGTACACAAAATATAAACTCTGTACTTGTTAAGTATCATTTGACATCAGATTAGGTGCAAGAAGAAGGTATATATTTATTATCTCCCCTTGAATTATGACCCGGTAATGGAATACAATAAACAGAAGAAAAATGTAAGTAGAAGTAGTAGTAATAATAATAATAATAATAATAATAATAATAATAATAATAATAATAATTGATTGTTTTGAGGGTTTGATTCAACCTTTTGCAGGTTATTTAAAGCCGGAAAATATTTTTAGATTGTAAGAATTTTTGCCGGGTTGAAAATAATGAGGGATACAAGTCTTACTAATTAACCCATATATGTGGAAGACAAGATGGATTCAAACCTTTCCAAAGGATATTTACGCATAAGTGAATATAACGTGAATTGGAACACGTCTCTTCGATTACCAATTCCAAGCCATTATCCAGCACAAAACTTACACCACCTGGTATACCCAAGCAGTCGACTATCTAGATACTGA